ATTCCCCCAGATTACAAAAGATGTGGTCCTCCTCCTCCTCCGCCTCAGCCTCTCCAGGTGGGTTTGGTCACAAGCATGTTTGATTGAAGCAGACAGCGTTTCGATTAGTTCGCTTTGGCCTGCTGGAAATGAGTTGTGGGACGCACCAGCGCGGGGGGGAGGGGCGAGGGGGAGTGGCCCAAGTTTCGGCAATGCCGCGGGGCTGTTTTGTTGGACGCGCTCGTTGGGGTGGGTGGCCGCGGGGTGGATACGTCCCATCTCCCAAGAGGGGAATGCGATGTATAGTTTCCATCCCATCTGGCCATCCCTTCTTCGAAGGCATCCTCATGTCGGCGAGCTTCTCGTGTTTCTCATCCTTTCCCTTCCCTCTCAATCGCTTCTGTACGGATGCGCATGCGGCGGGGAGAGGTGTCGGAGTTTGGGGATGGTCCGGCATTAACCACATTGCTTCCACAAGGTTATCGTAGTCACATACATCTTGACATTGGCCCGCCTGGGTTCCCATTGGAGTTCGTTGTTCTTTTGTTGATCGCGGTTGCAGCACAGCGTGGAGTGTTCGGTCCGACGAGATGCTGCGTGCGTATTGTAACACAAGCAGGCCGATGTCAGATGTTTGTAGCCACGTTGAGTCCAGAGGCGTTTTTTCTTGCATGTCTGCATGGCGAACTGAGATTGTTGTTGTATCATCTGGCGCGTAATGTTCGTTGCTCGCCCCCCCCTACTTAACGGTATTGGTCGCACGTTGGAGGGACATGCTGGTGTGCGCGCTCAGTCTGGCGATCGCTGCGCACCCCCTTCACGTGTCCCATTCCGCCAAGCGTTACTGTTACCCAGGGCCGGCACGCCCCCCCCTGGGAGCCGGCTGCTAACGGACACCATCTACTGATAAGCAATGCCATTCCATCTGCGCTGGCCCATCCATCATGGACTCCCTTATTGGCTCCGCTTCTTTGAGCGGGGCATTCTGCAGTGGACGCGATGGGCGCAGGAGCTTCAGCATGAGCGTTATTGGCTGTCGCGACGGCCTCTAGCGATGACCTGCAGAAGATTTCGTCTGAGATGCAAGAGGACCTGTGATTAAATATGAGGTGCGCCTTGATCTTTAATGAAACTCAGCGCTCGGTATTTTGCCGTCGGCTTCAGGGTCAATGTGATCAGTCTGAGGAGCCCTGGCATCACTGCTCTAAAGAGGGTGCCGGCAGAGCTCTTGGATCACGAGCACATCTTATTGGGGAGACCAGGTGGCGACGGAGTCAAAGCGCACGCGACATGAGCGGTCGGCAAGGTCCTCCCCAGTGTGCTGCACAGGGTGCCCCGTCAGGACAAGGTTCGCACGACGCAGGAGTTGCACAGGCTCGTCCATACAGCAGTCTCTGTGGAGGACACGTCTGAAGAGTATGAAGCGCGCGTGGAGTCACATCGCAAGTTCATAGAATTCTGGTCCAGAGGGCAAAGCTGCAGGTTGGCTTCGCGAGCTCGGCTTCACACCCTTCTGGGCCAACAGTTTTGCCCGGCGGAATCGAACACGGTCCCGAAAGGTGCCGCTGTGTCAGGCACCTGGGCAGGCAACTGGCGCTGTGCTTTAGAGCGTCGCTGCTCTTCAAGAGAGACCTACGAAGTCCTCGCTGCCGCCAGGCGCAACCGCACCCAGACAGAAGCTGAAATGTTGTCGGGCTCTTGATGCCACCTCCATATCCACTGTAGGTCCCTCATTCCGCCTGCCGTTGTTTTACCAGGGCATGTGTCTCACGCGCAGGTGAGACCGATAAAACCCCGAACGTAATGGCGTACAGTAACTTTGTCAAGTTTTTGAGTTGCACGACTGTTGCGTTGGCTAAGGCCGTGTCGGAGTCTGCTCCTGGGCTGGTCCACCAGGCCATTGGGGGCGTGTTTCGGTGGTTTAGAAGATTCTCGAGGCGTCTTGGGAAACTCTTGAGTGTTGCGGAGCCGTCGTTGTTAACCATTGGACGGGTCTTTCGCCGTTCTGTGACCTTCTTGAAGCACCTTTTGAGGCACTCGTGGGCCATCTCGGGGCTACCGCAGGTCTCTAGAGGCCACTGGGCGCCGAAACACGTTTTTTTTTGTGGTGATGAGGAGGTTCGAGGGGGGAGGAATCAACGTCTCACTTAATCGTCGCAATATATCTCACTTGATCGACCTCACTATCAATCTCACTATCGATCTCACTCGATCGATCTCATCATCGATCTCACATCACTATGGTTTCTTCGGTGCTCACTGCAGTACTGACTGGGCCCCCCCCCTCCCCCGCCGCCGTCATTTTGAACTGATTTTGACTGGCGAGCCTGCCGCCATTTGTTGTCTGCTCCCCGCGCTTGTTTTTCTCATATGAGTGTGCTAACTCCGGCGCTTGGGAGCACCCGCGGACGCCTGAGAGCGCATGCGAGCGCCTGGGAGCGCCTGCGCGCGCTTGCGAGCGCTTGCGAGTGCTTGCGGATGTTGTGGGGGAGGTCGCCTGGGAGCGCTTGCGTCCGCGCTGGGGAGCGCTTGCAAGTGCTGGGCGGAGGCGCCCACGAGCGCAGGCGAGCACCTGGGAACGCCAGGAGGCGCCTGGGAGCGGTTGCGCGTTCGAGGGCGCTTGCGAGTGCTGCGCGCGCGTTTCGGAGCGCTTGCGAGGGCTCGAGCGCTCGAGCGCTCGGTGCCGCGTTCAGCATAGTGGTCGCTATTGCAGGGGGTTCTGCGGGTCCAGGATTTTATGTTGACTATGCTTTATGCGGGCAATTCTTAGTTTCTTGTTTTTTGTTCTGACGTCCAGTTCGTTTCCCTCGTACCATGTCATGTGCTTATTATTCCTTTCTGGTTATTGGAGTTCCGAATATTTCTTATACTCGTCGTAGTTTTGCTCAACTGATTGCAAAACGCAGCCCGTCAGAATAATTCCGCACTGGTGACAAGACGATTCGCCGCCAATTTTTAGATGGGGAGTTCCAACTGAATTGCATTCGCGTGTTTGCCTCACCGCTGTTGTTGTTTGATACGTTCACTGCTGATTCCATTAGTTCTCTTCGCCTCCCGCTAATTTGTTGATATATGTTATGTTGTCCTTCTGCCGGTGATATGATCTCACTATCGATCCCACTCGATCGACCTCACAATCGATATCATTATCGATTGCACAATCGATCACGATCTATCTCATTGTTAATAGCACTCGATCGATACCACCATCCATCTCACTCGATCGATCTCACTCGCTCTATCTCACTATCGATCGCATTATCGGTCTCACTATCCATCTCACTCAAGCAGTGGCGAAGCGTCCTGGCTCGCCTATAGCCATACCAAACAATGTTCTAAGAACCATTTGTGGTTCCCACGAAATGTTCTTAGAACATTTCTGGCCGGGACTGTCTTGTTTTATTACATCGGGTTTATGTTCTCAGAACGCTGCCTTTGTTCGTAGAACATCTTGGGGTTCTAAGAACATCTCGCGGTAGGACTGGAGGAATGCAGGGACGGCCGGTCCCTGCTCAACCCACGATCGATCTCACAATCGGTCTCGCTATCTATCTCACCATCGATCTCTCGACGGGGCACCGACGGTCCACCGACGGTCCACCGACGGTCCACTCGGGTCGGGCGAAAGGGGGGGATTGGGAAAGGGGGGGTTACGACATTTGCTGCATGCAGCTGGTTTCGGCCTCACCGAGAGGCCCATTCCTCGATACATAGCCGCCTCCGGCGCCGGGAGGCGCCGCGAAAGTCAGCTACGTGAGCTGATTCTCAACCCCCCCCTTTGCTATCCCCCCCTTTCGCCCGACCCGATCCACCGGCGGGCCACCGACGGGCCACCGGCGGGCCACCACGACGGGCCACCACGGCGGGACGCCACGGCGGGACCCCGCGGCGGGACACCACGGCGGGACGCCCCGGACCACCGCCGCCCACCCCCGGGGGGGGGGGGGGCGGGCTTGGCCTGGCGGCGCCCTGGCCAGGGGAGGGTTCGTTCAGGAGGAAAAGAAACACACAGACACAATTAATCCTCGATCCCCCTGAAAATATGGGAAAATATGGGAAGTGGCGGGGAGGACAAAAACCCAGAAAATATGGGAAAATATGGGGAACATTTTTTTTTGTGTGTATTTATTTGTGTGTCCCAGGGCCCCTTCATTCGTCCCGCTCGCCCGCCCACGCATGTTCGCCTCGCCCGCACGCGCGGCACGAGGCCGAAGCAGATGTCCCGGTGGGGGGGCTTACGGGGCGTGGGAACGACCACAGCCACTGCTTTTCTTTGGTTGCCGACTTCCAGCCTGCAGAAACAAAGCAGTGGTTGTGGTCATTTTCGTTAAGCTTGGCACCAGGGCAATGACCACAACCACTGCTTCTTTTTCGGCCGGCTGGAAGGTGGCGCAAACAAGAAGCAGTGGTTGTGGTCATTTTCCCAGTCCCGCAGGGCTCTCCGGCTCGCTGCGATCACACCCCCTCGCCTCCGACTTTTTCAGCACTGTTGCGAGTCGATTCCCAACGGCGTTGGCCTCTCGGAAGTTTCCGTGGGTGTCTCCAGGGCCATTTCGAGGCAGAGGGAATCCGAGGTGCATCCTGGGCCATGTTGGACGCCATTTTGCGGTATGCTGGACCACCTAAAGGCAATGTTGCGTAGTCTTCGAGGCTCTTGTCCTAGTTGGTAACATCAATTGATCGCCTGAAGGCCCCTGACAGGGCATCCCGATAGTGGTGGGGTCTATTTGTGCCGTCTTGAGTTGTCGTGGAGCCGTATCAGACTTGTCCTTGATTGCTCTTGTACCATCACGTGGGCCCTCTTGGCACTTGAATCCACTCTTTGGTTCTCATTGGTCCATCTTGGGGCTGTCGCAGCGTCTCTAGGGCCACGCTCTGGCGCGTACACCAGCGTCTCGTCACCCCCAGAGGCCTTTTCAGACTCCTCAGAGCACGGTGCCGACCATAGTTTGATTGCCTCCCCCGTGTGCTTCTTTGTGCGCATGCCCTCAAGCAGCCTCGGGCCATCTTACCGCAGAGAGGCCAAGAAGTTGGGCAGCCAGTACCTGTCCATGATGGCCCTCCGTGTGACTGAGGATCCATTCGGCAAGGTGCAGATCGCAAGCGGCCCTGATGTGTGTTTCTGTGTGTGTGGATCGTGGCTCTATCACTGATCGGGGATCGCTGTTCCTGGTTTGTTGAGGCGGGATCTGGACAGTGGATAGAGGGTTCGATCAACAGAGCGTTCCGTTCCTTGGAATGGATCGCTTTCGCTGGATCGTGATGAACCGCAATCGACATGGGACCTCTCCGAGGTTAAGAAGATGATCAAGGCGACGCACTTCTCTCTATGCGCAGGAGGAGGCATGAAGGGAGACGGGAAGGAAGTGACAGGGAGGGGGGGGGAACGTGGAATGCGGGGCCAGATTTTCGGACGACGCATCCACGCCTGATCCCCGTGAACCCTCTGCGGGTGGTGGACACGAAGGCCCAGGAAGATCGGCTCCCCAGGCGGCAGATACTCATGAAGATCCCAGCCTCGGAGCGAAGACAGGCGACAGACCAGGTGGGAGGCGAGGCGATGTGGCCGCACCGCGCGTGGGGCTGGGCGGAGGCGAGCGGAGCGGGTGTGGAGCGAGGCCGCCGAGGTGGGGTGGATGGGCGAGGTGAGGCGGCGGCTCTAACATGCGGTCCTGAGGGATGGGTCCCCGAGGATTCTTCCTCCTCCTCTACTCCTTCCTTCCTCCCTCCCTTCCTTCCTCCGCCCGCAAGGATCGGAAAGTCGAGAGAACAGGTACCATGCACTGCACGAGCTCAAATGTTCGGAGCTCCGCCCGGGTTTCTTGGATCTGTGCGGAGCCCCCCCTGGCGGCGCCTCCGGCGCCGCCCCTGGCGCGCTACACGCGCCAGGGAGGGGGGTCCAGCGCGGATCCAAGAATCTGGGCGGACCTCCAACAGTTTATGTTCGCACCGCTATTTGATCTCTTAGGAGAGGCCCCCAAGCCGCACAACAACTGCTTCAGCCCGCTCGCCCCTGCGAGTGGGGAGGGCCAGGGGGGGTGGGGCCGGCGCGCGAGAGGCGGCGTCGCGAGGGGGGAGGCCCTCTGAGCAGGCGGGGGGGTTGTGGGAAGCCCCACCTGGGGAAACACGTTGCCCGACCTCGAGGCGTGGCAGAACTCAAGGCGAGAGAAGGTCAGGGGCCGGTTCCCGCCTCTGGGCCCCGGAGGCCCCTGCCTGGGCCCGGGGCCGTCGAGCACCGAGTCGGGAGGAGGAGGCGGCCCTCGGGGAGGGACTGGGGCTGGGGATCTCTGGGGGCCCCACGCTGTGAACGATACCGCGATGCCTGCTTCTCCTCCTCCTCCTCCTCCTCCTCCTCCTCCTCCTCCTCCTCCTCCCCTCCTCCTCCTCCTCCTCCTCCTCCTCCTCCTCCTCCTCCTCCTCCTCCTCCTCCCCCTCCTCTCCTCCTCCTCCTCCTCCTCCTCCTCCTCCTCCTCCTCCTCCTCCTCCTCCTCCTCCTCCTCCTCCTCCTCCTCCTCCTCCCCCTCCCCCTCCTCCTCCTCCTCCTCCTCCTCCAGAGGAGGTCTGGGCTTTTCCTTCTCGCGCTGCTTCTCGCAAGGTGGCTACGGGAATGAGGTGCGGTGACTGACTCAAGACGTGGACGATGTTTGCTGTCATGCGCGGCTCTTTATTCTGCTGTGATGGGATGTGGCCTCGGTGCTAAGCGCTCTCCACGCGGCAAGGTGTTAGGGCCGAGGTTGCAATGGAACGGATTGAAAATCAAATATGCCGAACTTGTCGTGACAATTCGGTGGCTCTGGGCTTTTCCTTCTCGCACTCCTTCTCGCAAGGTGGCTGCGGTAGGCAGGTTCGAGTCGTGTCGGCCAGCAGCGACCCCGCCGCCGGCGTTCGTCGCTGCACCGCCGGCTGCCGCCCGGAGTCGGGCCATGCTGGACGACTTGTCGTTGCGGACACGCCTGTTGGTTCACGGTTGGACGATCCCCTCGGCGTCAGGAACCAATTCCAGGGTCGACACGACGCGAACTTGCCGTATGCGCCCGACGTGCCCGTCGAGTTCTCGACAGCATCAATCGACATCACGATGTGCATTTGGTCAACCCCACAACTGATACGAAACAGCCGTAGACATCAGTACAGGAAATCTCTGACAAATACGACGGGCGCAATGTTTGATTCCTCCCCTTCCCCTTCACTTCCTCCTCCTCCTTCTTCTCCCTCTCCTCCTCCTCCTCCTCCTCCTCCTTCTCCCCTCCTCCTATCCTCCTCCTCCTCCTCAGAAGGTTTGAGTGCGTGTTGTGTCTGTGTCTATCAGATTTAAGTGCGTGTCGTGTCCGTGTCTCGCACTAGGTTTAAGTGTGCGTCGTGTTTGTGTCTCTGAGGCTGAAGTTGAAGTGCGTCGTGTGGCGTTGGGGGCATGGTGTTTGCAACCGGCGGCTGGGCCACAGACCCAACCAGGGCCGCCTGGGCCACCAGGCCACAGAAAACCCCAACGGGGCCACAGAAAGCCCAAACGGACAACAAAAAACCTCAACGGGCCACAGAGAGTTCTCTTCTCGGAAGAGGGGTAGGGGGAGGCGTTTGGAGTGAATGTGGAGAAGGGATTGGGGGAGGGATCGGAGGAGGAGGAGGGGGGCGGAGGACGGCGGACGAGGACGAGGCGGTGAAGGAGCAGGAGGAAGGACGAAAAGATGAGGAGCAGGGAGGAGGTGGAAGAGGAGGAGGAGGAAAAGGAGGAGGGGCCGTAGCCATTTTGGCTCAAGTCCGTAACCATTTGGCTCAAGGAGTTTGGTTTTTTGGTGTGGGGGATAAGTGCGGCCCCCCGAAAATACTTGGCTCCGCCTGCTTCCAGTACGCTGTGTCATTCGAGTGGCCTTTGGGGTGTTTGTCGCGTTCATGGCAAAGGATGGCCACATCCAAGCTAAGACACCTCGCGGGAAGTGTTGGCGGTGCAGTGAGTACGGATGTCAGCGTCATGAATCGTGGTGGACGTGGTGCACACGTTGTGGTAAACAGAAAGCTAGTCCTACCCCTCCTTGGCGCCATGATCCTCCTCCTGGTAACTGGCCTCTTGGGCCCCCCGCTCTGCCAGGACCGCAGGGAGGAGGGTGGGTGTATCAGCCTGCGCCTTCTGCTGGCCCGCAGCGCGCGGCCGCCACCTCGCCCGCCGCCGTGCAGCCAGGCTTGCAGACTGCAGCCTCGGGATGGCTGGGGGCAGCGGCGCAGGCCGAGGCCGTGGCAAAGGCTTCGAGCCCAGTGACTTGCCGCGGCTCCGCGATTTGGTCACCACCTCCGAGGCCCTCGGCGGCCAGCGACAACTTCAGCACTGCACGTCTCAGGCCTCCAAGCTCGAGGCGGCTTCGAGGCCGCCCCCGCCACCCACCGTGGGCGCGGCCGAGCATGCCATGGCCCAGGCGCGCCATCAGCTGGACCGCGCGGCGCAGGCGACGAGCAAGCTGGAGGAGCAGCATCGCTTGGCGAAGCAGCAGGCAGTGGTGGCGCACCGCCAGTTTCAAGAGTGCGAGAAGGCCTACTTGCAGGCGGTCCGCAGCCTGCAAGAAGAGGTGCTGCTCGCGCAGCCGCCTGCCAAGGCGCCCCTCGACCTGGCGTTGCTGTTGGAAGGGGGCGAGGTCGAGCCCAATGACAGCGGCACCTTCGGGCTGTCAGAAGAGGGCTTGGAGCCCTCGATGGAGGATCCGGCCGAGCTGGATGCGCGCAAAGCCAGGGTGCTCACCATCTTCCGCGAGGCGGCGCAGGCAGCCTTCGGAGAGGCCAAGAGCCAAGAGGAAGGCGGCCTTGATGGTGGCGGAGCAGTAGACTTTCGCGAAGCGCATGGCCGAGACCAAGCGCAGGCGAGCGACGGGAAGTGGGGGGGCCGCAGGACCTGCCGCCCTCAGCGGGGGAGGCGCTGGCGGGTCCGCGCCCCCTGCCGCTGTAGCAGCCGACGGCCCAGGCACTGGCACGGGGTCGGGCGCTGCCCCAGCCGCTGCGGCCGCTGCTGCAAACAAAGATGGGGATCGAGATGGGTTCAAGGACGTGGATCGGGAAGGTGCCTTCCTGCCACCGGCAGAAGCCATCGAGGTCCCAGGTGATGATGATGAGGAGTAGCTTTTCGCCGCTGCCAAAGCTGCCGCAGGGTCGAAGGTCTGACGATCACGGCGACGACGGCTCGGACACCAGCGCGGCCTACCGTATTATTCCGCGGGCAGTCCCATGGCCCAGGAAGCGCGTTCCCTGGGGGGGGGAGGGCGGCGCTTGCGGGGCGCGCGGCGTCTGTGTTGCTGCGAGGGCAGCTTCCATGGCGCAGTAAGTGCGCTTTCTCTGGTGGTGGTGGTGCGTGTGGGGGTGGTGGTGGTGGTGGTGGGGGGGGGGGGGGCGACTTCGGCGCGCGCGGCGTCAATGGCGCAGGATGGGCAGCTCGCGTGGCCCAGGAAGTGGAAGTGCATTCCTTGTTTTGTGTGTGTGGGGGTTCTTCCGGGATGCGGGGCGGCGGGGCGCCCGTGCTATTGCGAGGGGGGGGGGGGGGGGGGGGGGCGGCAGCTCCCATGGCCCAGGAAGTGCATTCCCTGGAAGTGCATTTCCTGCGAGAGCGGTGGCGCTTTCAGGGCAGACGGCTTCGTCTCCTCTGCGGGCCTCGGTGACTCTTGTTGGTTGCGTACCGAAAGATGGCGTGCATCTGGTTGGCGGGCAATTTCGGATCCAATAGCAGAAGAAGGCGACCCCCGATTTCTCCTAGTTCGCGAGTATTACTGCATGGCCCCAGAAGGCCTGAGATCATTTGAAACAATATTCGGGTGGATTTCAAGCTTCTGATATAATTGTTGTGGCTGAGCATCACCTGCGTGGCCCGCGCCAAATTGAAGCCATCCAGAAGCTCCAGACATTTGGGTGGAAACATGTTCCCAGGCTGCAGTTGGTACTTCTCGCGGTGAATTGCATGGGGGCGCGCGGTCTTCAGTGCGGAGGCAGTTGCATCATCGCCTACCTGTCCCGAAGTCAAGGCCAACCTCGACCCAGGAGGCCTGCCAGGGTCCGCGCAGTGGACCAGCCGCGCTATCCGCATGGCAGAGATTGGCATAGTCTTCGTGGTGCTCTGCTGTGTCTCGGGCTAGGGTCTGCAAGGCGACTGCGAGGCGCCTCTGGGTCCTGTAGCTGGCCATGTCAAGGCGCCAGGCAAACCCCAAATCATGGCAGGCGGTTGGAAACTGGATATCCAGGAAGTAGCTGACGGTGGGCTGCATATTTCTTTTGCCCGGAGAATTTCGCTTCAAAAGGTGAGGCCCCACTTTGGGTTTGGTCTCTGAGGCCCCCGCTAAGG